CTTAACAGACTGTAAGATGAAATAAACTCCTCTCCAAACTGCTTTTGGCCACAGTTTATCACATTAACAGAAAGCATTGACCAGACAAACAAATATAGGCTCAGGATGATGGAGCACGTTTGTCAGGGAGCCCCTTGCTCTGCCTCGTGTGGAGCCTAGAATTTAGTCAAGATCACTTGGATCAGGTTCTAGGATAGAAGGACATCTCTCTAGGGCTAAATCTATGCAGAAAGTCAGAAGGTACCATGTTCTAGAGGGGCTTTTCCAACAAGGACGCTGGGGTATCCCTGACCCGACTGGATCATCTGCTGCATACCAGTTCCATTTGTTGGATCCTGGCTTTTGCTCTTCTTAAGATGGACATAACCATACTCTGTCTTCTAAGTTACTATTGCTTGGTGGTCCTTTATCATGCCAAGCTTTTTGCTGAATGCATATATGAATATGGCATTTAATTCTAGATTTTTTCCTCTTTTAGTTTTCAGGGTATAATATAATTAGATTTCCCCTCCCCTTTACTTCCTCCAAACCCTCTCTTATACCCCTCTTTGCTCTATTTCAAATTCATGGCCTTTCCCCATTAATTTTATTATATGCATATGTGCATATACTATATATTCCTAAATGTAACCTGTTCAGTCTATATAATGTTACTTTTATGTATGTTGTCAGGGCTGACCATTTGGTATTAAATAGTCACTCTTTTTTTGTTTCTTAATCCTCTGGCACCTCAGCCTTCCGTGTGCTGGATTATATATACTCCTCCACCTTAAAAAATAAACCATTTTTGTTTTGTTCTGTTTTTCTACATGGAGTTTGAGGTGTTCCTGTAATCCCAAAACCTGAGAGTCTGAGGCAAGAGAATTTCAAGTGTGAGGCCAGCCTGGGCTACAGAGCAAGTATTTGTCTTAAAAACAAAGCAAAACCCCAAATTATTATTATTATTACTTTACAAAATCAAAAGATTAAGTGACATACGAAAGATTGCATAACGGAAAGGTGGTGGTGACGGGACTGGCACCCAACCACCTGGCACTTCTGTCCCTGTTGGTGGTGTGACTGTGTAAAGGAAGTTCTACACTGGGGCTCTCCACTGTCTCCCCTTGTAAGAAATAAATAATTATGTTTAATTTCCAGAGCATTTAGAATTCAGTGATGATAGCACACACCTTCAATTCCAGCATTCAAAAGGCAGAGGCGTGCTGATCTCTATGAGTTCAAGGCCAGCCTAGTGTACATAGTGGATTCCAGACAAGCCAGGGCGGCATAGTGAGTCTCTCTCTCTATCTCCCTGTTTGTGTCTCCCTTAGACTCCATGCTCACAGGCATCCACGCACGCATGCATGCATGCATGCACAGGTCCTTGTCTCCCTTAGCTCACAGCTAGTGCCTGCTTCTTGGGAGCTTTTTAGTTTATCTTAGAGTTGAAAAGTTACAGAATAAGCTATGTGACTGAGCCCCTCTATCAGAAGGGAGAGCATCTTGAATTTCAGGTTCATCTTTGAACATCAGATAAGGCTTTGAATCCTGAACAAATAGATTGGGGAATCTGGAGAGGTAGTGATACTAGACACCAGGAAGGTTGTACTTCCCTAAAGAACTTAGCTGATGAGGAATTCATACAAAGGAAAAAAAAAGCATCTTCAATAAATGGTGCTGGAATAACTAGATGTCAACATGTAGAAGAATGCAAATAGATCCATATCTATCACCATGCAGAAAATTCAAGTTCAAATGGATCAACGACCTCAACATAAAACCAGCCACATTGAACCTCATAGAAGAGAAAGTGGGAAGTAGCCTTGATTGCATTGACACAGGAGACTACTTCCTAAATATAACTCTCAGACACTGAGAGAAACAATTAATAAATGGGACCTTCTGAAACTGAGAAGTTTCTGTAAAGCATAAAACAAAACAACAGCCTACAGAATGGGAAAAGATCTTCACCAATCCCACATCTGACAGAGGACTGGTCTCCAAAATATACAAAGAACTCAAGAAACGAGACTTCAAAAGAACAAATAATCCAATAAAAAATGGGTACAGACCTAAACAGAGAACTTTCAACAGAGGAATCTCAAATGACTGAAAGACACTTAAGGAAATGCTCAGTTTCTTTAGACATCAGAGAAAGGCAAATCAAAACAACTCTGAGATACTATCTTATACCTATCAGAACAGGTAAGATCAAAAACACTGATGACAGTCTATGATGGAGAGGATGTGGAGTAAGGTGAACACTCCTCCATTGCTGGTGGGAGTGTAAACTTGTACAGCCACTTTGGAAATCAGTATGCCGGTTCTCAGAAAACTAGTAATCAATCTACCTCAAGACCCAGCAATATCACTTTTGGGTATATGCCCAAAGGATGCTCAGTCGTGCTACAAGGACATGTGCTCAACTATGTTCATAGCAACATTATTCATAATAGCCAGAACCTGGAAATAACCGATGCCCCTCAACCGAAGAATGGATAAAGAAAATGTGGTACATTTGCACAATGGAGTACTACTCAGTAGTAACAAATAATGACATCTTGAAACTTGTAGGTAAATAGACAAAACGAGAAAAAAAAACCATACTGAGTGAGTTAACCCAGACCCAGAAAGAAAAATACAGTATGTATTCACTCATAAAGCAGATATTAGACATAAAGGAAAGGCTAATCAGTCTATAGTCCACAACTCCAGAGAACCTAAGCAACAAAGAGGACCCTAAGAAAGACTTAAATGAATCCACCTAGGAAGGAGAAAAAGACAAGATCTCTTGAGTAAATTGGGAGTGGGGGAAAGGGTGGAGAGGGAGAAAGGAGGAAGAAAGGGGAGTGGGAAAAATGTATAACTCAAAAAAAAAAAAACAAAAAAAACAAAAAATCTGTCAGGAGGTTCCACCCTTGCTGTGGTTCAGTGCAGGGGGAAGGCTGGCCGTGCAGACAAGGGGAAGAAAACATAAACAAAACAGCAAAAAAAGAGTACTTACTGTTGACCTGGTGGTGGTGGTGCATGCAATCCCAGCAACGCCTTTGGAGGCAGAGGTAGGTGGATTTCTGTGAGTTCTAGGCCAGTCTGGTCTACAGAACAAGTGCCAGGATAGCCAGGACTGTTTCACAGAGAAAGCCTGTCTTGAAGAAAAACTAACTAGCTAGCTATCTAACTAACTAACTAATTAATTAACTAGCTAACTAACTAACTAGCTAACTAACTAGTGCTTACTGTTCTTGCAGAGTACCTGAGTTCATTCCCCAGCACCCATGTGGTGGTTCACAATCATCTGTAACTCGAGTTCGTGGGGATCCAGTGCCCTCTCTGAGTTCCACAGGCTTGCACACAGATGTGGTGCACGTACATAATCTTAGACGTGCACACATAAAAAGTAAACATTTTAAAAAGAGGAACTAACTAAGCTCATAAAAAAGAAAGTACGCAAGTGGTGGAGGGACTTGCCCAGAAGAAAGTTTCAGTGAGGGAACGGATTAGGGGAGGGGTGTGAGAACGACAAAATTCATCACATGCATGAAATTGTCAAACACATAAACTTAAAAAATAAACACAGTGCTTGGACTTTCCTTTAAAATAACCCAAGGATGACAGCAGAGGTGAGGTTGCTTAATTAATACTTATAGTATAATTACATTTTAGTAATCCATTTTTATGTCATTTTAAACTCTATTTTTTGTATCCAAATCATTTTCATAGTCAAAAGTCATGGAAAAACTGTACCCTACAGTATGTACAAGGAAAGTATTGGAAATATCTTCAGAAAGTTAAGTGCTGGGATAGTGTCTGAAGATTGAGAGAGTTTCTTGGGAAACTCCATTGGTACATCTATCCTTTCTTCTTAATCTGTTGGAATGAACATGCATATCAGAAAGGAAAGCAATGTTTAAAACGGTCCTGGCTCAAAGGGGCAAGAAAAGCGATTCATAGCAGGGACAGCTCCTTTCTCTGGGAGGCACCAGCTAAGTCCTGCTCCCCATCTTTACCACCCATGCAGAGCTGACAGAAGAAGTCTAAGAGAGGGGAGGAGAAAGGAGCTTGTGCCTTGTGAGTAGACTCTGAGTTACACAGAATGCCAGTCACTCCTTAACAGATGGGGAAACCGAGGCTAGAGGGGTTGATGATCTGAGAGAATTAGTGTTTGTTCCCTGGTGGTGGGCACGGTGTTTCTTACACTCCCGGAAGCCATGCCGTGACATGTAAAGCGATTGGCCCCATAGGAATTACTTCCTATGGAAGGGAGTTAGTCTCCCTTCTCTGTGTGGGCGTCGAAAAAACAGTCAGAGCTTCACTCTTAGTGCCAGGCATTTCTGCCTGACTGGAGAAAGAACCCAAGAGAGCCAGAGGCCTGAGGTTTGGTGCTGGGTCTGCCCTGGCACTATAAGGCCCGAGCCCACTCCTTGCCTAGACGACTAGATAAGCCACAGCCCTTGGATCGTTCTGGGAAACTGGAAGATAGCCCCTCACCTCACTATAGACCCCTCCAGCCTCCTGGAAGGTGAGACGGTACCTTTATTCCATTTGTCTCCTCAATGGTGGTGCTGACCCTACTTGGATCACTGACCCTTTTGACTCCTCTTCCTTCACGATGCCCTTTGAGGTCCTTCCCTGGATGCTCTGGCCCGAGGGCAGCCACACCCTGCAACCGGACCTCTGCCCAGGCTGCCCGTGCCCTCCTAGGCATCCGGTTGTTACATTTGCCCCAATCTTTCTTTCCCCGTTTCTTCCTGCATTCCCATTTCTTTCCTTCTTGTTTGTGTTTTTCTCAAACTCCCTGCTCTAGTTCTCGTCCAGACGCGTTATTCTCAAAGCCTCTTCGGCTCTCAGTCCCCCCTCTCTTACCTCTTTACTCGATCTCTTCCCTTTTCTGTACAGTGTTTCTATCTTCTGTCACCATCACCTTTCCTTCCCTCCCCTTCTACCGGTATCTCTGTCACCGGTTCCTCTCTCATTCCTACCTCGTCGTCCTGGGGTGTCCCTGGGTCCCTGATCCCACTCACCGGCCTCGACGCTGAGCAGAGCGAGCCCGGCCAGGGCGCAGAGTAGCGGTTGCATGATGAGGAGCCAACCGAGCACAGCTTGTGTGTCCGTAGCCGCCTCCCCGGGATCACGCCCGCCCGGCCCAAGGAAATGCAGTTCCAGCCAAAATTCCTGGGCGGCTCCGGGTTTCTGGCTCCAAAGAACCCGCCCCCTCCAGAAGCCCCACCGAGAAGGCCCGGCCCGGGATCCCATCCCAAGGCCACCTCTCCTCCCGGGCAGACCTTCCAGCCCCTGACCCCACCTCCAGCCTTGGACCCCCACAGAGAAGTGGGGGAGGAGGCAGCTTCTGGGGCCACTACTCTGAATAAGCCTATTCCACAGACAACCAGACTGAGGCCAGAAATGAGGATTTTCCTCTGTGTCCCTCCCAGGATCGCGCAGGATCTGAAAGCACTATCTCTGAACCAGAAAATGAAGGCTCAGGGTATTGGACAGAGGAAACTGAAGACCTAGCACTGCCGTCCACAGAAACTCACTGATAAAGACCATTTAACTCCTTACTAAAGGGACTAAAGAGTAAAGGAATGAGATACTACAAGGTGTCCAAACAACTACTCAGACCCGGGGTATCGACCTGTCTGTGCCGGTGAGGGCGCCTGGCCTATCACACAGTAAGTGACGGAACCAGCAGCAGGTGAACTCATCTCAGGTGGAATTTACAAATCTAGAGAGTTATGTTGCACCTTTATCACTTACAAGTTACAACTCGCAATGCAGTTTTCGAGCAAAGGATGTCCCAGAGATGAAATAGAACTGAAGCCATAGCAGTTAGCAAATGTGTTAACCGTGCACTAGGTAGTATTTGGTGAATGGAGGAAAAAAAAATAAAAGAAATAAAAAGGAAGGACATGACTGTTCCTAGTACGGTGGAGGAGAAAGTTTATTGTGGATAAAAGGGCGAGCACAGCCAGAGTCAGAGACTTCTAGACTGTCTATTGTCAGAGACAGTATAAACTGGAGCTAAACCCTGGTGTTCTCTTCGGCCATACCATCTCTCATCCTCAGTGTAACCTCACTAGGGACCTGTTATCATATAGCCATTCCGAAGATTAAAAAAAAACCTGATATTCAGAGAGGGTAAGAAACTTGCTGATGGCCACACAGTTGGGCGATGTGGAATCAGGCTTCAAATTTAGCTTTGCTGCCTCTGCCTGCAACCAATGTTTTAGATAACTACCGCTACCCTTAGGTCTGTTTCTATGCTGAGCAAGCTGCTGGGTGAAGGGTAGGATGGAAGGAGGGAGGGTGCATATCTTCAATCAAGAGCTGGGTGGGTTTTTTTGTTTTGTTTTTTGTTTTTGTTTTCAGTGAGCTTGAAACCATCTCAAACCTCCTGCAGTTTAGAACGTGAATGGTTGATGCTTCACTTGTGGAACACACCCATCCAACAAGTGCAAAACCAAAATGACAACAAAACCATAAAACGAGAACACTGATTCTAAAAAAATCTGCAGAGTCCAAGCACAGAGCTCCTAGCTGCAGGTAGCACCTTTGCAGGAGAATGGCTTCACCCATTGAGAGTCAAGAGAGCGTCTGAGGGTCATGGCTGTCAAAGTATGTGTTTGTGTCTCCATGTGGGTGTGTACAGTGAGTACAGAGGCCCGATGAGGGTGTTAGATGCCCTAGAGCTAGAGTTACAGGCAGCCGTGAGCCCCCTGATGTGGGTGCTAGAGAACAAATCTGGGCGCTCTGCAAGTGCAGTGAGTGTTCTCTCTGTCACTGCGCCCTCAGGTGTGAATCGGCCGTGTAGCTGCTGCATATCACGGTTCCTGTGTTCATCAGGAGCTCTTCCTGCTCATCTCCCCGCTCCAGGACACACTTGGAGTTGTCAGGTCTGTCATCAAGACTTGGATCTAATTCTTACCTTACTTGCCCCCCTCTAGGATTAGAATGCCCAGATGAGCAGGTTTAAGGGGAAGGATTTGTCTCAATAATGCCAAGAATTGGCTGGGCGGTGGTGGCACACACCTTTAATCCCAGCACTCGGGAGGCAGAGGCAGGCGGATCTCTGTGAGTTCGAGACCAGCCTGGTCTACAAGAGCTAGTTCCAGGACAGGCTCCAAAACCACAGAGAAACCCTGTCTCGAAAAACAAAAAACAAAAAACAAACAAAAAAAATAATGCCAAGAATGTCTATATTTGTATAGGGCATTCCGCTTTAGTTTAGCTTAGACGGGCATGAAATTGTAATACAAAAAACCTAAACCCATAAGGATTTTTTTTTCATCTTAGAGCCAGTGGGCCACCTAATTTTTTGAATTTAAGATAAGAAAACACAAAGCCTGGCATGGGGACACATGTCTGTAATCCAGAACTTAGATGACTTAGGCAGGAGGGTAGCTGGTCAAGGTTAAACTGAATTACATCGTGAGATCCATACTCTAAATAAATGAATAACATGAATTAGGTACTTCATTGTTAAATTACAAAGTATGGGCCCATGTAACAACTCAGTGGGTAAAGACGCCTGCTCACCTAGGTTTGTATCCACACTGGGGAAGACCCTGACCTTCATAAGCAGTGTGTGGTTTGTACACATACACACTCACTCATGCACATACTCACACACACACACACTCACACACGCACACTCACTCACACACACACTCACACACAGAGGAATAAAAGTAATTAAATTAAAAAAATCAATTAATTTGGTGAGTATGATGACACACAGCTTTTAATGCCGGCACTCAGAAGGCAGAGGCAGGAGGATTTCTGTGAGTTTGATGTGAGCCTAATCTACACAGCAAGTTCCAAGACAGCTAGGGCTACATAATGAAATCTAGTTTCAAAAGAATTAATTAAAGAAGCAAAGTAATGCCGGGCAGTGGTGGTGCACGCCTTTAATCCCAGCACTTAGGGAGGCAGAGGCAGGTGGATCTCTGTGAGTTTGAGGCCGGCTTGTTCTACAAAGTGAGTTCCAGGATAGCCAGAGACCAGAGATACACAGAGAAAGCCTGTCTCGAAATAAAAAAAAAAAAGAATGAAAAGAAAAAAAAGAATGAACAAAGAAAAAAACCATGAAAACAAAAAACCCCAAAGTAATGAAATATATAATGTAAAAACATTGAAAGCACTGTTACTAGCTGCTCCTACCTTTGCCCAGTCCCCTCAGCTTGGTGGCCTCTTCCTCTTCATCCACAAATTCTGTACTTATTCAATATATATTTAGACATGGGATGAAAAGGATATTTTGCTTTTACATTTATATTTACCTCCATCATATCATTAGATCTTGGAAGGTCATTGAAGACTTGAGAAAGTTCATAGAAATGAACAAAATAACACCCATTTAATTCCTTCTGAGAGCAGCAAAAAGAGATATGGATTAGTGATTAGGCACATGTGTTGTTTGCTCTTTCAGACGGTCTGCATTCCTAGCACACATGGCAGCTTACAACAGTCTGCAACTCCAGTCCTAAGGGATACCTTCTTCTGGCTTCCAGGGATAGTGTGTACCAGGTGCATACACATACATGCAGGCAAAACACCTGTACACAGAAAATAAAACTAAAATCATTAAAAATAAACCAATAAAGTGAAAAGGAAAGCATCACAAGTGATCCCAGTGGGTGCCACTGTTTTTCTGGTGTAGGGATAGGTCCAGCCCCTTGGGGGGCGTGTTTGCCTCGGGCTAATGTTTGCCTATAAATTTGGCGAGCATACTCCCAGCCTTAGCTTCTGCTTTCCTGGTCTCCGCAGGAACGGCCGTTCTGTAAGTCTATTTCGCCATTAAAGCTATATATATATATATATTTTTACAATCTGTCTGCATTCGTTTACGCTGTTACAATCTGGTATCCTTTACTAATAGACGTGTAGTCATGGGCTTTCCACAATATGAAATACTAGTTTTAAAAATATTGCCAAAACGGTGATGGCACACGCCTTTAATCCTAGCACTTGGGAAGCAAAGGCAGGTGGATCTCTGTGAGTTTGAAGTCAACCTGGAGAGTCAGGAGAAACCCTGTTACTTAAACACCCCCACCCAAAAAAGTGAAAAGAAAAAAATATATATATATAATATATATACACACAATGTGTGTGTGTTATGAGTGTATGCTGCATGTGTGAGGTTGATGGCAGAAGTCGGAAGAGGGAATTGGATTCCTCACCTCACCAAGCTGGGGTTAGTCAGTTGTGAGCTACCTCACGTGGGTGCTGAGAATAGAGCTCAAGCCCTCTGGGAGAGCAGCAGGTGCTCTTGTCCACCGAGTCACCTCTCCAGCCAATGACTTGATCAATATCCAACTTCAGTACCAGATGCTGAAGGGGAATTTACCAATCAATATTTTAATGTTTATTTACCAGCGGTCCAGGCTAGCTAGCAATGAAGAGGGTTTTTTCCACGCTCCACTAGAGGGCGCGCTCTTTCCAGTTGTTTTATATTCATTTGCTTCCGGGGTACTTTTCTGTAGTTGGAAATGCAGGCTTTGTCTGAGGCCTGACAGCCATACATTTTCCTTCTTGCTTCCTTCTCCTATTGGAGTCTTACAAGATAGAGGTGGCAATGGCGCCAAAGAACTAGGGAAGCCTCGAACCCCCAGCCCATCCCCAGTGTGTATGTGTGTTATGAACACATTCCATAGGTATGCTATGTCTGAGAGGAAAGATTTTTGTTGTTGTTTGTTTTTTGATTTTTTGAGACAGGATTTGTCTACATAGCCCAAGCCGACCTGGAACTCACTAAGACTTGCCTGCCTCTGCCTCCCAAGTGCTGGGATTAAAGGCATGCACCATTACCGCCCAGCTAAAATTTTTTAACTTTTGAAGTTATTTTTAACTATGTGTCTGTGTGTGGGTATATGCACATGACTGCAGTTTCCTCCAGAGGCAGACCTGTCAGATCCGCTGGAGCTGGGGTTGCAGACGATTGTAGTTGCCTGATGTGGTGCAGGGATTTGTATGTGCAATGCCCATGCAGGACAGAAGAGGGTATCGAATGCCCTGGAACTAGATATGGATGCTAGGAACTGATCCTAGGTCCTCGCAAGAGCAGCAAGTCCTTCCTACCTTCCTTCCTTCCTTCCTTCCTTCCTTCTTTCCTTCCTTCCTTTCTTTTCTTTTTTAAAAGATTTACTTACTTATGTATATAGTGTTCTGCCTGCATGTATACCTGCACACCAGAAGAGGGCACCAGATCTCAGTACAGATGGTT